CAACCTGGCTGATTGTGCCACTGTGAAATAACACTTTATGTGGATAAAATTAAACTTGATCAAGTTCCTACAGCCAGCACTGACTAATTCTGTGCATGTGCAGAGGAGCTGCAGAGGGAGTTACTCTCTTAAGCATTCAGTTGCCTCAATTAACCACCACGTCACTTTCAATATAAAAAACATACTSTGAACCCCAAACTCTCAGTCCTTATCAATTCGTATGTTATATTTGAGCTAAGAGCACAATTCCTACCTGGGCATCACATCACCTCACACTGGATTATGACCCTGACCTGCTTTTAAAGATAGACATCAACTTCACCTCAGCTGAAGCACTGCATCTGCAGATCATGTTTGCATCAAAGTAAAAAGGGAAAAAACCCACACAAGGTAAACAGAACTGACATTTTCAAAAATGCATTTTTATCAACTTTTCATTGCTTCAATTGATGCATTAGATACYTAAATGGAAATGTACTTACTGCTCTTTTTCTGGAACAACCTGTAATCCAAGGCACAGTAAGGTTTCCTGAAATCTGCAGAGGGGAAGGGAGGAAACAGGAAAAAAACAAGAGCAGTTTAGGTTGCTGTGAGAGCTAACACTGAGAATTCAGCACCGTGCATTCATTTCTGACACCAAGGCCTGTACACAGGACAAGATTTGAAACCAAAGTCACACTCAGCTTTTACTGCTAAGACTAAAACACTGTTTCTTTAGGTGAAGGCAAGGTAACACAGTGGCAACTTGGGCATTTCTGTATTTTTGGTACCTCAGAACTTGTATTTCACAACAGAAGTTTCATGTTCAATCTGTTCCACACTGGCAGGAAGAGTAGACGAGTCAGACAAGGGCTGAGGAGAGAGCTGCACTCACATCTTTTTAAATTACATCACTTCAACTTCCAGAAAAAATGCTCTTGTGCTTGTCATTTAGCTGTTCAATATCTGATGTTTAAGATTTGAGTACCAGCAGAAAAATTAGGGGTWTCAGGTTGAAGAAGGAAGGGGAAGGGGTGTGAAGACAAAGGTGAGCTGCCTCCATTCCCACTGCTTGTCCATCATTCCAAGAGGTCAGACTTTATTAAATGCTAATCTCAGATAGTTCTCCCTGACCATYTGAGGTGTGTCATAGCCTGGAATATTTCAGCCTTATTTAGGCTGACCTTCTGCAATGCTTGAGAGAATAACACAGCACTGGAGAGATTAATCACCTGAGGTCATTAAATACATGTATGTGAGGAAAAAAACCCTGTGCACTTTTKCTGGCTGAACCAAACTGCACTGAGAGTTTTTGGATTTGCAAAGTGCTTCACTGATGGCACCTGGCACAGGTGTTTGCTGTACAAACCTGTCAGACACTTTTATTGTTCAGGCTTTTAGCTGGAAGCACTTGGAGATCACCCAAGGTCAGACACTTTCCCATCACAAACAAAGAGGGTTGAGGGGGCTGGAAAGGAGCATCCTTTCCTCCCAAGGGCCAGTCTGCATCAGATTTTGAGCCTAAAATATTACATTTTTCACTGCACACACACGTTTTAGAAATCRTGTATAGAAAAGTTACATCTGTTACAATCCTGTATCCCACATAACAACTTCACACTACAGAACCCACTGTGAAGGCACCCTGAGGATCCACCCAAGTGGCTCCTCTTCACTAATTTAAAGGGAGCTAAAAAGCAAAAAAAGGGTTTTTCTATGGGAATAAAGCAAAATCTACCTGGCAGAGCATTAAGGATTGCTGGGAAGACAAAAGCACACAATCCTGACAGGTATGAGGCCAAAACCAGCCAAGYTCATCTCGAGAGAACTCTGCTCTGAGCTGCCTTTGTGAAACAGGCAGAAGGGCTGGGGTTGGAAACAAGTGAAAAATACACAGATTTGCAACAGTGTTTCTGTCCCTCAGGGTCAGGGGGAAGAAACCAACTCTAAATCCCAATTGAGCCTTCAGGACAGCACAAAWAACCTCAACATACTCAAACCTTCAACACACTCAAAGTCAAACTAAGACAAGCAAGTAGGCTGAAGAATTTGTTTACTGAAACTGCTCAGGCATTAAAATTGATCACTTAATTAAATTTAGTCTTAAGTTACACTAACATGAATTTGATTAATTGAACCAGTAAGGAAGCTATAACTAATTGCTAATTAGATACCCCACCAATATATGACAGTAATTACTTCATCAAAACATGAATCACACAGTCCTGACTTTGAAGAAGCATCTGCTTGGATGTTCAGCTACTCCAATAATCAGTTAGCTCAGGTTTAATCTATTTTTAAATTCAAGAAGATTTCCTCAAGTTTAAGGATTTTCATCTCTGTGCTGATGGATAAATTAGCTAAACATGGGCAATAAAATTAACATAAACTGACTACAAAAAAAAAGAGGTGTCATCCTGTACAAGTCTAAAAGGATTCAGACTGCACCTTACAAAGTCTCTAATACCCAGAAGTGTCACCTCAGAGGTTCACAGGGTGCATGCTCACAGCAATAAAGGAATTAACAGCATCCTGCTCAGCTTTTCCTAGATTTAAAACTCTGGAATGACAAGGGATATCACAAGAAATAGAAGCTCCCTCCATCCACATTCCCAATCCAGGGTATCTGAGATAGGCATGGAGGTCAAGTGGGGTACAGATTAATTCCTCACTCATCAAAAAGATCACGTATGTTGCTAAAACAGGGGAAGTAAAAAAAAAACCCAAACAAAATTCCAAGATCTTGTTCTGACTCATAAAAYACCATGTGCACAGATAAAATGTCACTGACCATGAGCTGTTACAGCTCTTTAAAAAGACCCTGTTCCTATCCCATAAAACCCCAAAACAGTTATCCCAAATTTTGTTTAAAAAAAAATTAAAACAGAAGAAATCGATTTTTCTGATACTTTTTCAAGAGTGAACTAAAGCACCATGAGCATACAGCTGATGGAGGCATCAGTAATGGATTTCCCTTCATGAAAYTTAAGAAAAAATCTCTTAACTCAATCGCAAGCACTTTCACCAACCCTTTATTSGACTGATCTGCACATTTACAGCTTTTCTTCTCCTGTGAAAATGGGATGTCAAAAGYGAACAGCATTTCATTAATTCTATCACCAAGTAAGAAAAGTAACAGCAAATACTGAGTCTATGTGAGAGCAAAAGAAAGAACAGCTCATTTGATGTGCCATCTACACCATAGAATTGACTCTAGWCTCTGTTCAGCAAACCTCTGGTGTAGCCAGAAAATAATAATTCAGGTGAAAAGTGGCTGACTTGGACTCAAAAGCTTTCTTCCAAATGCCCACATGAGATAGGAACAAGTCAGGGAAAAAAGAAAAGAAAAACTAAAAATAAAAMCCCAAAAAAATTACTCACAAAGTGTTGATCTCTATCCTGGTGAGCAAAGCACAGGAAAAGCTGATACATAATTGACATGGTTTACTTTCAKGATAAATTAAAAAGGCAGTAACAGGCAAAAGCATGCAGGTGAGACACACAGAATTACATTCTGTCAGCCTTAAAAGACTTTATCTCAGTGTTTCCAGGCTATGTCAYGCCAGATGGTGCAAAAATCCATGAAAAATACCAATTTGGATGTTTTCTGCACAAGTATCTCTCTCCTAGTAATATCAAAGATTACAAAAATGAGTCAAGTGTTGCAGTTTCTCCTAAACATCTTTTAGTTCTTCAATGATCTGCATTTAATTTCCCCTCAGTATCACCGAAGGGACTTTAGTACAGGATGAGGAACGAAGGGATTGAATGTAAAACTGCTTATTTGAATCAGATGCTGCAGGAAAAGAAGCTGAGTGTCTCCCATCATGTTAACTCCCTCACAGGGGATCTTAATCCCTGACAGATCACTGGTCCAGAGATTGCCACCTGCACAGGGGGTACAGCAATCCAAGCTGGCATCAGCAGGGGCAAGCAAATGTCAGGAATGTCAGCATGAAGCCATGTCTTGTGATGTGTGTCCACAGGGGAACACGCAGGGAACATCCATGGCATGGGCTGGAAAGCAACCACCAGCTCGTGGGTGTGACCCTCCTGCAGCCCAAACTGAGCTATGGAATTCATGGAATCCATGAAATCCTCACTGATCTTCAATATATGGCTAGCAAGGGCTCAGCTGGATGGRTAAAAGTGCTACCACACTGCAGTGCTGCCTGCTCAGTGTTTGAGAAGGAGTTATCTCCACTGACAAGCATCARAGGTGAACCTGCTGCTTAGTAGCTACCAACACTAAGAGAAAACAGCATTTATCTACAACCTTGGCTTCAAGGTCTGAAGACAAACTGATGGATTACCTGGTAGTTATTTTGGTTTTGTGACAGCCTCAGTTGACTTGAAGATGTAAAATGAGGAGAAAAGGTACTTCTAGCTGCATTCGCAGTGTTATAAATCGTACTGGATGTGGTGTGCAATGAGGTCCGTGCAGGCAGGTGGAATTCTCTGCTGTGGTAGAGGAGATTGTCAGGCACATCCCTGGCACTGCCCACCTGTGACCCGCAGGTGCCACTGCGGCCCGGCCCGGCCGTGCTTTGGATGTCGGCGTGGCCGGAGCCGCCGCCCTCGCAGTATCTGGAGTAGCCGTGGATCTGCGCYCCCATGGAGGCCAGCTCTTCCTCCCGCGCGTACTCATCATCCACGTCGCCCGTCTCCATGGCGATGGACAGGCAGCTGCCCTCCAGGGAGGGGTGTTTCTGTGCCGGGCCCCCCGCCACCAGCCTCTGGGGCTGGTCAGTGACGGCCAGCGAGAACACCTCGCGGATCTCCAGGTTCTGGGTGCCGCACGCGGGGTCCCTGGGGTGAGCCCTGGGCCCGGGGGGCACGTGGGACACCAGRGCCCCGTGCTCGGGTTTGTGCAAGCGCTGGCAGCCCACGGGCTCGGCCTTGCAGGGCCTGTGGCAAATCATGGGTTTCTGAGGTAACACCAGCTCCGCTGTCTGCACCGAGGAGCCGCCGTAGCTTTTCTTCGTGTGACTGTAGATGGAGTTTGCAGAATTGAGCACGCTYGTTTGCCTGGAGAGGATAATGGTCTTTTCCCCGACTAAAAGAGAAGCGTTTTTACAGTGGGGTACTTGCCGTCCTAGGGGGATGTGCTGCGGCTGGAACTCGGCGTCGCTCTTGCTTGGGAGCYGTGGAATGGAGTTTTTGTGCAGCTCTGCCATGGAAGTGTTCATGTGCTTGGYGGCTCCCGGCCGGCCCGACGAGCTGGCAGGGCTGTAGATACCAGTCACTATCACGTCGTTGTTAGCCGAGGTCCAAGAGGATTGCTGGCTTTGGGATCGAGCAATATTTACCACATTTCTCACTGCTGCTTCTGGGGGCACAGAGGGAGTGGCAGGGGCAGTCCCTGGGGGGGTGCCCCCGGATTCCACAGCGTTCTTGCTGCTCATCTTCCGCCGCTTGTTGCCAACCCACGTCTGCAAACAATGACAGCAACGACAACAAACACAAAACAAGGCGTTAAAGGAGCAGAAAAAAATTAGCAATTCCATTTTTAAGCAGATCAGATGACATGTTAAGTGTTCATGTTGAGACCTAAGTTTACAAATATGTAAATTGTTTACTGATTATGCAGTGAACATGACAGGGTGGAAATCCAGGCCTGAACAATACAGGGTAGAAATCCAGGCTTYTCCTGCTTGAGATCCACAACTAATACACAGGAGAACCCCAGTCTCAATTTCAAAGCCCCAGCTTCTCAAAAACCATGAGACTCTCATGCCTGCTGTCCTGAAGTTACCCTCAAAATTTATTTCATTGATACCACTGTGACTAATTTCCTACAGGAAAGTAACCATCACTGCCATATACAATTCCACTCTACTAATTTTTTTTGGTCAAATGTAACAAAATGTCTAATTTGAGGMACAATTTGTAACATGCAGTAAAATGTAAGTTACTGGTCAGCTTTGCCTCTGCAGAGAGCTCCATTCTCTTGGCCATTGTAWTGAGGGAATTGTATTGAGGGAATTCATGTGCTTATTATAATCCTATCTGGAAGTGCCAGCTGCAACTCAAGTATCATTTGGCAAAGAATTAATCACTGGCCAAGAGTTTTATAGGAAAAAAATGAAAAAAGGGAGCATTAGGAGAAGCAGAAAGGAAGGGTATAAGGAAGAGAAAGGTAAGATCATGCTACAATATAACAAATGCAGGCCAAACATTGGATCTGCTTCCATTGCACTTCCTAAGTAAGAATAAGTGCTGCAAATCAGGGCTCAGMAAGGGAAGAAATTCAAAGGAATGATACTTGATTGCAGGAAGGGAAACAGAGATGGAAAGGGAACATGAAGAGGGAGATAACCGCAAGGAAAGGAGAGCTGGGCTGCCTCCTCTAGGACATTCAATCAGCACAAAAATAGCAAACCAGCCCTGGCTGCACCATCAGCATCCAGATTCTTGTTACAACTGTCTGCCTGCCCCTGGAGCCCGAATCCCTGGCTGACTTTCACAGCTTCCACCACCTCGAGCTGAAAAAGTAACTTTTAATGTTTCCAGAGTGTTCTGAGGGAGGGGAATCCAGGTAAGAATTCAGGAGCAGGATTGTTAYTGTCCATGTACCACTTGTAAACTAATTAAAAACCAACCTAAACTGGTCCCACTTGTTCCTCCTCAGTGTCCAGTGTCACAGCAGCTCCTGGGAGCTCCACTATCCCTGTTATTTTTCCATCTAATGCTTCAGGATTTCTATTTCTGCTCTCGGACAACAGCCATTTTGTTGTCTAGGGTTTCACAAAGGGATTATTATTTCCCTTCCTGTGGAATTCATAGGCTCTGGAAGAGCTCCTGTTAGCACTAGTGACATTCCTGTTTTATAAGAAAAGAATGTCCTCACTGTAAATAACCACGAGGGACCACAATATTTATGATTGTGATGTGGAATATGACTGTGACCAAGTGCATCAAAAGAAATAGTTACACAGTTGTTTCCCCCAAATATATTAATTTATAGAAACTTATTTAGCTTTAAGAAGTTCCTTATTAATGTGACTTTGCTTTGATACACTACATTCTACAAAGTTTCTATAGGGCAAACCAATTCATAATTCAACAAATAATAATTAAAATCCCAACAAAAGACAAAGAACAAAAATTACTCCTTGTGTAACGCAGGCCACTGCTAAATTAAACAGTCATGTGAAGATATTTCAGAGACAACWAAATCTAAATAGGCTCACTGGGCAAAAATGAATGTCACATACACTGAAGTCTGAGTTAAGACAAGGATAAAGTTAGAGAGTCCAGATTCTATTTATAATTTCATGTGAAGCAATGAAAGTGTATGTTTAACAAATTTGGAAGGCCTCAGTACTTACCCTGACCACACTGAAATCCAGTTTAGTTTCTTGTGCACACTGTAATATGAGCTGAAAGCAATTTTTACTTTGATTTGTCATTCCATTTTCATAATAACGCTGTAATATCCTTTGTTGTTCTACAGTAAATACAGAACGCAGATTCATCTGAAAAGAAAAGGAGATACCCTGAAAGGTGGAATAAAAACTGTAACACTTGCAGAATGCACAGGCTCTTATTGTGCCTGTGATAACACTAAGGATTGATGTGTTTTCTCTGCAGAATCTTTCACCAACCCTCTGCCTTACTTTCCAAAAAAGCCTGTTGCAGACAGCATTGTGACAGACTCAAGCCGAACAGGTGAACTGTGTGTTTGGAACAACAGTGACTGCTTTCCCTAAATAAGTATATAAATATTACATGATGTTGCTAAGTCCATGAAGTTATAGTCTCAAAGAAAAAGTTTCTCCCTTGAAAAAATAAATGAAATAAAGGCATTATAAACCAGAGAAACAGCAGCAGCTCCAATATTGACAGGTCTGTTTCACCTCCCCTAAAAAAAAAAAAAAGACAACATCTGGTGTAAAATAAAGGTGACTGTTTGACACGAGTGAAGTTTCCACTGTCTCCAACTTCAGCATAGCCTACTGCCCATGAGGACTGCTCCTTCTGCTGCATCAGCACCAGCACTTCCAGCTGCAAAGTCACAAGAACCAAGGATCAAAGACCAATTTGGGGGGGGGAATGCCCCCAGGAAGGGCTTTGGGCAGCCCTGGTGCTGCCCACCCAGTGCAAACACTCCAGTTTAACAGAGGAAGGACACGCATGTCTCRGGCTGAGAAAGGTTCTGCTGCTGTGACACCACCCAAGGCTGGAAATCAGAATTTTTAAGAACATGCAAGGGTTGTTTTCCAGGGTTATAACCAATGCTGGCTACAGCACCTTGGGATGTGYTCCTGCTCCTTGGCTTTGTCCAAAGTGGTGCTCAGGAACTCAGCCAGGATCCGAGGCCCAGGTTTGTCCTGGGCCAGCAGCAACTCCTCAAGTCCCATTCCCAGCTCTGGGTCCCRCTCAGAGTTTCCATGTGAGGACACTGGAGGTGACTGGGACAGGGCAGCATTTTGAGGAGCACATTGAACCAGACATTGCTTTGCTACATGTGAAAATTCACAAGGCAAAGAATATTACCAATAGTACTGAGTGCAGAACAGTCCTAATGTCAAACTGGAGCTTTCTGCTCTTGTTATCCAGTCTATACAAGCAAAGAATGTAATCCTCTGGGCAGGTATCAGAAAAGAAGAGCCCCATCATCACAGATTTCCAAGACAGGGCCTTTCTTAATCTCAAATAGGAGGCCACCAGCTGAGACACCACAAGCACCGGCCAGGAACAACCTGCATCAACCCTGTGCCTTGCGAAGCAAAAATGTCACCAGCCACAAGTTATTTTAATGCAGTACATGAATCACMGTAACACAGAATGAACCAAAGGACAAGAAACCTGCCATCATCCCACAGGTAAATAAAGGGGATGAGGGAACCCTTAGCAGCCAAGCATTTTTGAAAATTCTAGATGGGAAGCGGAGTGGTGATCTGCCTAATCTTTGCACAAGAGATGCTACTAATATAAAGCAAATAAAATTATTAAGGGCTCAAAAGCATGAGCAGATATCCAACTGCTTTCACATTATTTTCCAAGATGATTATACTACATAATGGTAATGAATGTTAAGAGTTCAACAGGCCTGTATAAAAAATGAGATTAATATCTAGAATTTGAAGTAAAATGCTTGTAGGCCAGAGCTTTGACTTCAGAGTTGACTTTCCTCTCTATGTCAACAGGCAATAGAAAAATCAATAATTACCAATTAGTAAAAATTACAGTTTCTTTGAAGTAATAGTTAAAAGATGATTTTTCAATCACATTTTTTACCTCTGATCCAAACTCTTACTCACTCTCTCAATCCAGTGCATTATTAAATGCAGCCCCACCAACTGCATTACAAGCCAGATTTGGCCAAGTCTGTCTACCCCAGAACATTTATTCAGTCACAGCCAGAGCTGGGCAAAGGAGACTCTTGCTCTGAATAATCTACTCCTTAATGAAATTTATAGCAAGCAACAGAAGAGACAATTATTAGTCCATTAACAAATCAATAAAGTTCATAATAATCCACTTTCTAATGGTGAGAGCTGCCTTCAGATCTCCCATGTGAGTACACGATGATGAGGCCACCAAATTATTTATTTTGTCACTTCGAAAGAACACAGAAGAGTTAGTTTTGTGATTATTTTTCCTCCTGCACAATTGGCAGGGTGCAGCTTCCACTTCTGTATCCTCCTCTTTCAGTATCAGTGCTCCTGTTTTCTTTAGTGGCACTCAGTTCCCACAAATGACCTCATCAGAAATGGTTATGAACATTCCCTCTTTCTAGATCCAGCTGAAGTGTGTCATCCCAAAGCTCCAGCATTTCCATACACAGGTTCATCACATCATGCTTTCCAAATTGCTCACCAACTGCAGAGAAGACTCTTCCAATGGCAAAATAAATTTTTAGAGCTAGACCTGATGACCTGCGAGGGAAGATATATGTCAGGTCCTTGACACATTTTTTAATTATGTGGATTTCTGTATCCAAGGTCACTTCTGTGTTAAAATACTTTCATTGTTGCATTTGACATCTGTAATTTAGATAAAGACAGGGTGGAGCGTTTTGATTAAACCACTTGAACTTCAGATAAACTCTGGAACACTGTATGACAGGCTTGGCCCAACTAAGCTCAGGAGAGGTCATGCTCTGCTTTAATAACTCATTTTTGCTGTGGATTTTAATCACTCATGAGCTACACCTGCCAACAAAAGCCCTGGTGAGATTCCTCAGCCTCTGCATTGAATCCAGTAAAGCAGAGCTCAAAGGATCTGTGCAGAGGCCGTCAGAAACTGATTTAAATAAACAGGTCACAGGATCAGAGTTATGACAGCTGAGTCATAACTGAAGTTCACATTCCAACATCTAAACCTTCAAATAAGTAGGTGAGATTTATTACAGCTTTTTGTGTCTTGGATATACCAAATCCTCAGTCAACAGACAGTTCTGTACCATTTCCTGCTGATTTCACACCAGTGTGAAGGACATTTGGCAATATTCTATCTCTGGCAGGTTCAAAGCTCACCTGTAAAGCGCAGATGGAATTCAGTTTGCTATCAGTACTCCTTAAGAGCTGATTCTGAATACCTAAAGCAGYACCCTGTGTTGAATAAACCAATTACTGGATGTTTGGGAGCTCCCCTAGAAACCCACAGAGTCCAAAGCCACCACGTCAATCCAGGAAGAGCTGCCTCTGCTTATCCCACCTGCACAGGCAACAAGTTCTGCTCACTTTCCATGCCTGTCACACCTGGGAATTCACCTRCACTGAGCATTCAAACAGCAGGAAGAACATAAAGTTACTGCCTGAGACAAATTAAYACACGACAAGTTCRTCAAAGGATTACACTGRTTATTTTTGGGGTCAGTRTTACCTGTTCAGMATCAGTTTTCAGAATTARAACAAGACATGAAYAAGACATGAACAAGACATGAACTCTTACACTTTCTTTAACACAGGAAGTAACTTGCAAAGTGCTAAATTACTGACATTGAGGTAGCCACATGAATAGGAAGGGAATCAGCAGGCCACACACCTTCACCTTAGACTATTACTCAAAACAACTTCAGTAACTTCAAAGGAAATAAACTCCTTTTCCCAATCTGTCTACCTACAGAGYACTCCAGTCTCTTCAGGATTTCTCACCTTTGTCTTGAACCTCAGACTCCAAGTYAGAAATCCACATGGATTTTTATCATAATTTCATTTTGATCTTGACTTGCCAAGCTTAGCAAATATGCATCTGAGCTTTTGGGAAGCCAGGTGTCCAGCAGGTTGGCAACACATTGGCACTGAAAAGAGAGTTTGTTACAGAAAAGCACTCTGTGAAATTTAAAAATCAGGCAAAGCATTATGCAAGCAAACCCCATKAATATAAGTWGTTATTTTCACTTTAATAAAAGAYRGAGAGGCAAAGCAGTATTTCAGGATTCAACATCTGCCTGCTCTAATAAAATAAAGCAGYTTTGGCCAAGTGTGTTGGTGTCTTTGACAGAGAAGAGAACAATGTATGACAGCTGGAAAAGCAGATTTTCCAAGCAGTCCCTTGYCCCTGCTATGTGTCTTGGGCCAACCAACACTGGGTAACCCTTCACTTCAGTGGTCTCCCACCCCTCAGCCTGCTGTGAATCCAACAATATAAAGATGTTCTTCAGTGCCTTTCTGAACTGAACACTAATTAAACAAGCTGCTCATTGTAAGACCCCTCTGCTGTGTCATGGTTTGGAAGATGCAAACAGAATTCAAATGCTGTCAGGCACTGGGGACATGGGGAGATGCCAGGGTGGTGATTGAGGACACAGATGGGAACTCCATGGCCTGCAGTTTGTCCCAAGGACAATTCCATGGACACCCTGTGACCATCAGACGATGCTGGGGTTATTCTGACAGCTGAACTTTTCCAGGCTTCTTTAGCTGTTCGAGCAACTTTTCCCCACTATTCACCTTCCATCCCTTCTGTGGGAAGAGCAAGAATGAGTGGAGAGGGGAGAGCACGAAGATCCACAGYAGAGTTTGCTCCTGAAGTTGTGGTGCATTTGCTTCATCAGTGCACAATCCCACAGTGTCTGCTGCAAAKGCCCGGCCCTTCCACCCCAGTTACTTCATCCAACATTCTGAAATCAGCAATCTCTCCAGGGAGACCTGGTGAAGCCAGGTCATTCATTTTTAGCAACTAATGGAAACAATTTGATGTCAAGGAGTACCACAAAAGAAAGATAACTATAGGAAAATGGGGGAAAAAATGTAATCAAATAATTCAGGAGTTAYTGAACTGTTCTACAATTACTGGCAAGATCTAGGGTGAAAAAAAAAAGAAATAAAAAAAGGAGAAGCATAAGAAGAAAAAATAATTTCTGCCTACAATGCATAGCAGCATGATCTTAGTCTCCAAAAGCATCTACATGTTAAGATGCTGAACCAAGAAAACATTTACAAGGTAAATCTTTACAGAATACTACACTAATACTAATTAATTTGAGAAACAGGAAACAAACCCATAATTATACTCACTTCAAACAGCTCTTGAAACTAGTCTTGGATGTCAAATAAATAATAAATAAATCAATTAACTCAGAGTACAAGCCACCACGAGGTTGCTAAGTATAAAACTATTTATGGTATAACACATTTTAAAACTGTCAGGGAATAACATAGGGTGATAAAAGGGAACAAGCAGTTTCTGAGAGTTTTCTTTTTTTAACTTCAGCTCCAAACAGGCATTTGCCTAGAAAAAAAGTCACTTTACAAAGCCTATTTCTGTTTTAGCCTCTCCAACTGTAACAGGTACAACACGAAAATCAACTCACTCCCAATTTATCTTTTTTTTTGTTCCCTCCACAGATGTCCAGTGGCAAAAAATAGCAAGTCTTAGTGCCAATATAAACCTGAGATAAGACTGGAACCATGGTAAGAAAGCTACTATAGACATAAATAAAACAAGACTGCAGTAGTGACACTATTCCTCCAGCTTTAGAAACTTGAACTGAAATCATCTCATTCACTTTCCATGGCTGCCAAAAACTCGCCATTTTCTGCACATCCCAAATGGAAAGAAAACAAYGACCCAACCAACCCCCCAACTTACACACTATGCGGAGATACTGGACACACATCCAGCAACAACATTTAATAATCTGAATTTTCAGGTTGGTGCCTCTTTCCTACACAGGCCAAACCAGTTAGAGCCACTCATGCCAGTGCAGGAGATGAGGCTGATGCTTGGGTAAGTGCAATGTACAGACCAGCTTGTAAAACTACTTTTAAATATCYGTGACTCGCAGCATAATTGCTTCCCTCTCCACTAAGTACAGCGTTTGTGGGATTGTATTACAGTCCCACCTCTAAAATGCAGCCCTTTATTAGGGACAAATTAGACAGACCTCAGTAACTTAATAACATAATAACCCATGACCACAACTCTGCGGGTTTATGCATCCCATCCTGCTGTTTTGATGCAAATGAGCTGCTCCTGACTGCAGCTGGATTAGCCACGTGTTTTAAATAAAGCATGTACGTGTTTGTAAGAGCTATGTCAGAGAACAGGGAAGGAACATTGGAGTGTGATGTTACTCTGAACGTGTGAGATGCCTCAGGACTCCAGYAGGGAGGACACACAGTCCTTTGGGTGAGTTATGTGTGATCTTACCCTTAGTGTGAGATGCCCCAGGCCAAGAGGGCAGGGGACAGGCTGGGGATTGCTCGTGGCAGGYGAGTGCCACACAAGCACTTACAGGGGCAAGCCTTCCACAACAGCACAGCCAAGATTTCTTCCTCCTCATCCTCAAACACCTGAGGGATAAAACTGTGGCAGCACAAGGATTCTCCATGACTGCTCTGCCTGGCACCATAACAGGCCAATACCACGGAATCACAGAAAGGTTTGGGTTGGAAGGGATCTTTAAGTCCATCTTCTTCCACACCTCTGCCAATACGGGCTCACTGAAGCACTGGGGACACTGAGGCACTGAGGTAACCCATGACAGGACGAGAAGACAGTCTTAAGCTTGGCCAGGTTTAGATTGGACATTAGGAMGAAATCCTTCTCAGAAAGGGTGATTAGATATTGGAAGGGGCAGCCCAGGGAGGTGGTGGAGTTTTCGTCCCTGGATGTGTCCAAATACGTGGCTCTGGGCTGGGTGACAAGGTGGGGATCGGGCAATGGTGGCACTCGGTGATCTCGGAGGTCTTTCCCAACATCAGTGATTCTGGGATTCTGTGACTGAGGAGACTGAGGCAATTAGCGATCAGAGGACTTGTGCCAGGGGAGGTTTAGGATGGACATTAGGAACAATTTCTCTACAGAAAGAGTGGTCAGACATTGSAAGGGGCTGCCCAGGGAGGTGGTGGAGTCCCTGTTCCTGAAGCGCTTAAGGACAGGCTGGCCGTGGCACTGAGCGCCCTGGTTGAGCAGACGAGGCGGTGTTCGGTGGCAGGATGGGCTCGGTGATGCCGGG